AATTTAAGTGTACATTTTGAATATTATGTATATTGGATAATTTGACCACTATTTTTCTTATGTAATTTTATTTTGAATATGTCAATTTAAATTAAAGTAATTAAGAAAAATAAAATCATACAATTAAATTAAATTTAAAAAAATTAATATAATGAAATTGATATAAGAGAAATAATTAAAAAAAAATGTCAAAAACCTTGCGCGACAAAATATTTCGTCGCGCAAACTATTAAATTAGTTTATTTTAGTTTAAAATTTTCAAAAAAGAAAAATTTTCAAAAAATGAATATTTCGTCGCCCAAACCTTTGAGCGACGTTAACATTCGTCGCGCAAAGTACACTTGCGTGACATTAACTTTCGTTGCGCAAAGGAGATATTATTCGTCGCGCAAAGTAGATAATATTCGCGCGTAAAGTAATTAATATTCATCGCGCAAAGTTGTTATTGTCCGTCGCGCAAAGTTTTCAGGATTCGTCGCGCGAAGTAATTAATATTCGTCGCGCAAAGTTGTTATTTTCGTCGCACAAAGTCGTCATGATTCGTCGCTCAAGTTGTTATCATTCGTCGCGCAAAATGGCTTTGTGCGACGAAGAATTTTCACCGTCGCGCAAACCCTTTCTCCACGAGTTTTGCGCGACAAAACTTGCGCGACCAAAATTTCGTAGCGCAAACTTTGCGCGACGAAATTTTCCTTTGCGCGACCAAAAATCATTCGTCGCGCAAAGTGTTTTTTGTAGTAGTGGGTCATTCCATCATAACGTAGGACCTTTTTTTTTTGGTTGAAAATAAAGGAAAACGTGTTTTGTTTTGGGTATGGAAAAAATATTGACCATTGATCGAATGCCAAAGTTAATGATCTTCGCACCTCTTAACATGATTTGGGGTCATTATCTACTTCCAAAACAGAAACTTAAGGTGTAGGGTTTAGGGCAAATACTTTTCTCTCTGTGTACGATTTCATTTGACTTGTCTATTACAACTATTAATATCTTTGAGGGATCCCTCATAAGCATGGAATTAATTTCTAGTTTTTATTTTCTGATTTCGTTTGGGATTTTCGTTTCCTCAACTTTGAATAGTACTTTTTAAAAAAAAGAATAAAGTGGTGAAATTCATTCATTAACAGGGGCTATTACAAAGGATTGAATAGATAAGCAAAGCCCTCAAACAATGGAGGGTTTCAGCCAACTCACCGTATACACATCAATAAGCACATGGCCAGGACAAACTTAACTACAAATCCAGCTCTCTACAAGGCAACGCCAAACATAAATTATAGAGCTCAGTGCCAAAACTAGAACCCAGAAATGGGCATTTGCCTTAGACTTCGAGAAGAAAACAGCACCACCAAGAGAAAGGGCAGATCCACTCAACTTCCTCCCAACACATAACTTTAAACATTTCTTAAACTTTTGCATTTTACCTTTGTTCTTTAAATTCAAACAATATGATGGTGCACATAACAATGGTCATAGGGTTTAGGGAAGAACAAAATGTTGAGATATCAAAATGATAGGATGCATATGGTTTGAATTTAGGGAAGAACAATGGTCTTTAAATTAAAATTCAATATACTAACCCCATAAGAGAAGAACAAAATGTTGAGATAAAAACCACCTTTTACTTTAGACATTTCATAAATAGATGGATTCTCACATCTTCAAGCATAACAATATAATAGACCATGTGCTGCAAATTGCAATTCATTTGCGATAAAAACAATACACAATGTAGACATCAAAATGATAGGATGCATAGCATTTATGGAAAATAGCACTCCTTGCTCTTTTGCTTTAACTCTAGAGTATAATTAACTCTTCATTCTCTACTATTTCGAAGGGCGAATCTTGACAGAAAAAGAACCAGTATAAGGGTCGTAAGTAAAACTACAATCCTTACGTTTCTCCTCGCGTTCCGGGCACTCATGATTCAAGTGTTCTTCTTGATTCCCACAGATTGTACAATCCTTGAGAATTGCATATCCTATGCTTAGGCCACAATCAGCACAACATGAGTCTCTAAAGAGGCAGCCACATACAAGACATGCAACCACACAACTATCGCCAACAATTGCGTTCTTTGGGACTTGATACCTATAAGAGCATAGTTGCGTAGGGTGCTTATCCACCTTTAAACAATACTTACATTCACCTGTATGCAATTTGTAGATCCATTGTTAAATACAACGAAAGCAATAAAAATAATCATTTTTTTTAAGACAATGAATGAATGAAGATTATAAAACCAAAAATGAGTATTGTGAACACATTACATTGAATAACAACAAATACATAGATATTATGTCATACGATGTAAATAGAGAAGCTGCAGGCACTTTTTTTTTTCTTGCCCCTAAAATAAATTGCTTACCATAACTTTTTCCATCCATGGATTTTTCATCCTCTGATTCTTCAACCTCTGATTTCCAACCCTCTGATTCTTCATCCTCTGATTTCCAATCCATTGATTCTTCATCATCATCCTCTGATTCTTCATCCTCTGATTGTTCAGCCTTGCTCCCTGTTTCCATGCAATTACATTGTTAAATACAAAAGGAAAAAAAGGAAAAAAAAGAAAAGAAAAAAAGAGTGATAATGTCAAAAAAGTTAGAAGGAATGACATTTATGATCCAATCAACAAATAACTATATTATTAAATATCAGTTCTACATCATGCAAACACCAGAATAACTTGGCTGAACAAATTATCTTTTAACATACGAGCTGTTTTTAACATGACATAGAATAACAACAAATGCATAGATATTATGTCATAAAATTGAGAACTTGCAGACATATTTTTTTCTTTCTTGTCTCTAAAATAGAGAGCGTACCAATAGAACTAGGATGGCGGAGGTTAGTGCCCTCATAAAAATAAGCAATAAGTTCTTCTTCAGTTGGTTCTGTAGTCCCTGGTTCTTCAGCCTTACTATCTGTTTGCAAGCAATTACATTGTTAGTAGGAATGGCATCTATGATCCCATCAACAAATAACTATATTCGTAAATATCGGCTATCCATCATGCACACACCAAAATAACTTGCTGGAAAAATCATCTTCAAAAACTTATTCGAAATTTTGGCATAATATATACCCCTCTAATTACACCAACAAAAATAATATAAAAACAACACTTTCTTTTTTCCAAAGAACAACGCCCAAGCAAATTTCATATAATCTTCCTCACAAACCCTAAAAACAAAAATCAAGAACATATAGGAGCACTAGGACATAAGGTAAAGAGATAATTTTTGATACACAAAAGTTGTGGCATAAAATTTAAAGCCCAAGTAATTAAATTGCAGATAATCTTGGTCACCCTTGATTTAAAAGAAAAAGGAAAAGCATGCATACCGATTATTGGCGTATCACAGTTGAGGGGGACCATAGCTGGCAAGAAAAGGTCCTTTTCTCCGCTGTACTTATCGAGCACTTCCGACTGGGAATCCAATTTCAACCCCACCGAACCTTTCTTTTTCTTATCTCTCCCTTTCCCTCTCTCTCTTCCAGCTTTTTTCTCTCTCTCTCTCTCTCTCTCTCTCTCTCTCTCTCTCTCTTTCCCTCTTTCTTTCTCTCTCCCTTTCCCTCTCTCTCTCGCGGCCAATAATACACACTCCAAATTCAGAGCGGACGCCACCAACCAAGTCTCTCAACCTTTCGCTTCTGTCGACGATTCTCGAAATCCCTAATCCTTGTCAGATCAGATCGTACCCCTGTTTTTCTCCAAAATCTCGCTCCCCTGCACCCTCTGCTTCGCAATTTCCATCTGAGCAAACCCTAGCACCCCTCCCAAATCCTTCTCCGTCTACGCGATGCTGAAGTTTTCGCCGACCATCGCGAGCCAGATTCGCTTTCTCCTCCAAAGCCCCAACGACGCCAACTCTGACTCTCTGCTCCGAGAGCTCTCTCAACCATCGCGAGAGTATCGATATTATCGATAATCTCGATAATATCGAGATATTATAACCGTTTTGTGTTGACGTTGCTCGATAATATCGGGATCGATATGTCGGCGATATTTTCGGCGATAATTTCGATATTTGAACGAAAAATGCTTGGTTTGTTCCCAGATTATCGGCTTAAAAAAAAAACGAAATTATCGCCGAAGTCGATTTTTTAGACACTGGTTTTACGTTTCCTTTTGCTTTTCTTTTCAAGTTTGCGCTAATTAATATTTCATTGAGCCCACTTCCGAAATTGTACCACTTTTTTTCCCGAAATTGTATCACTTTGTTACTCAAAAACCACTGAAAAGTATGATATTAAAAAACCGACATAAAAGAGCACTCGTTTTTCTTTCTCTTTTCTTGTGTATGCAGTCCATCTAGGGCCACAAGTAAAAGGGGCCAAATTAGATATTGCAGGAGATTTTTTCCTGATTGAATAATAATTTATCTCTAAAAACTAATAGACTCCAATGCAGGCATTGATGACGTCTTTAATAAACATGGAATTAATTTCTAGTTTTGATTTTCTGATTTCTTTGGGCAATTTCCTTTCCTCAACTAGAGCCTAGTTTTTACTAACAAAAGGGTAAGCTTTTTTTATTGATTTCTTGAGGTTCAAGTATGGAAAGTTTTAGTTCACAGAGTAATATTCTTTAACTTTCCTAAAAGAACAACTCAACTCTTATATAAGAATGGATAACGCTGTTGAACTTTTTCAAACTTACAAAACAACTTATTTTTATTTTTCAACAACAAATTGGTGATCGTAGCCGAGTTGAAATTTTGTTTTGCATTATGGCTAAGACATGCTTGGAGAAAACCAACCAAGACTTGAAGGTTTGTGACATTACCACTATTCTTTTTTCTATTATAAGTATTTTTTTTATCTAAATTTATTATACGTACTTACTCGTCCATATCTCTTGAACCCAAATTCTATGTGCCCTCCGTCCTGTACCTATGTTTTTGTCGTATGTCCCTCTAGTTGGAGAGAAATTCTCATGTAATGGGGATATCACTTTTTGCTATCCCCGGCTAATAATGCAATGACACGTAAGATAACTTTTTCATGTGTTATTGTATTATTGACCGGAGATAGCAAAACAATGTTATCCCCGTTATAACCAACTAATAACTCTGCTAACTCATATAAGAAAATTAATAAAATATATTATTTCCTATCCCTTCACTTTCCCAGCCCATCAACTTAGTACCGTCGTCAAGCAAAGCTTGGACCTCATCAATCGAATTTTGTCTGTAAAGCCATTGAAGCTGAATTTTTCTTTCACAACTTGGACCCATTGGGGTTAAACTTTGAACCATGGGCTTATTCGACTTTGTGCTCTCTTATTCGTGAGTGTTTTTTATAAAATAATTTAAAATAAGATTCTCAATAGTATCCAAATTTATACTAATCAATAGCAGGAGAATTGATAAATCTTATGAACACAAAAACCCCAAATCTGCACTATCATTTGTTTTATTCATATGTTTTATGTTTCTTCTTCCTATGTTTATGTTTTATGTTTATGTTGCTTCATCTGTATTCTCCTTTGGTTGTTGTACTAATTGTTGTATCGGTTTGCCGTGGCTTTTCAATAAAGCTTCAGTTATTGACAAGAAAAAAATAAATCGCAAATAGTATATATGTATATATACACTTGGCTGAGTTGAACTACATCTTAGGCATATTTTCATCCTTTTTTTTTTTTAACCTAATAAATTTCAAATTTTTACCAGGACAAGGGATGGGGCACAACAAACATCGCTTATATTTCTAACGATGGTTGTGGAACAATATATGTTGGTGTCGATTCAAGGACTACATCTAGTACGAGAAAATGATTTATAAAGAATGATAATTCAGACAAATATTTACATATGGAGAGTTGCAATGTATTTGCCACTAGGGCGGGAAATACCATCAATTGCCAAAAAATGTTAGCACATGTGGAGCGACATGTTAGTTATCGCGGGGAAATAGTTAATGGTGTCTGTGAAGCAGCAGAAAAAGCCTATAAGTTTATTAAAAGATGGCGAAAAAAAAGAGAACTGAAATTCAATGCGTCTACTATTATGTCTGGATGGAAGGTTGGACGGAACGGTGTAGATAAAGTTCCTTATGTATGTAAAGTTAAGCATTCTGGATTGGAGGTAAAATTCAAATCCAATTGTTGCACAGGATTTGTGAGTGGAAGCGGCGGTTTATATGCTGGGAAATACTTAGATGGTTGCAATTTGAAAGTCGAGAATTCAAATGAATTGTTACAACATGTGACAAAGGCTTTATTATATGCAACCATTTTTTATGAATGTAGCGGTGGATATGTGCGCGTGTTTGAGGTATTAAAACAAGGAGGTTTTGAAAAGCTATATGACCGACCAGTTATAAGAGCGCTTCTCGATCATTATGATGCATTTGCTAGTTATCTTTCCAAATCATTGTTCTTTCTCTTTGACAGGCTTGATTATGTGTATGCACATGACATTAATGTGAAAGTGCATAAAGGATTCCAAAGACAGTTTGAAGGAGAATATATTAAGAATGTTGTCATAAATCAAGGACCAACATACATTATACGACTCGTACATTTTGATAACCCAATTGATGAGCTATATGAGAAGTTGAAAAGAAAAAATAGTCAACGTGTTGTGCCTCCTGAAATTGGATATCTACCGTCTGTTCAAATTGAAGAAATTGGTGAGGCTCCTATTTTGTGTGGTAAGATAACAAAGGAGTTGGTGGGAAATTTACAAGACATATAACACTCCTTTAACTAACTGCAAGAATGTTTAATATTTTATTTAGACTAGTCGGTGAGATAATTATTTCATTTATTTCATTTGTTTTCCTTTTTCATTAATAATTGGACATACTCCTCAGTTGGTTGAGAATCCTTTAGTTTTTATTAAGTGTTTCTAGTAGTATGTTCATGTAACGTCATACTTTTGTGAATTAAGTTTATGCATTTATTGTTCTTAAATTATAAAGGAAAACATCAATGATTCAAATTGTATCTAAAATAAAAACATGATTGTTTTCGCATGGTTGTCTTACAGCCAGATGGCCAATCCATATATCCTTGTAAGCCCAACTTGTATCAAATTATGCGGATATAAAAATATGAAATAAATTTTCCCAGAAACAGAGAAATCAAAATTTGAAATTAAAACCATATATCCTCTTTTTTGTCTGATTGAAGACTGCAAGTTGTTACTTAACCGTGATTGGAGATGCAATGTCTCTCATATCTACAGGGAGCAAAACAGAGCAGCTGATCACCTTGCTAACTTGGGGTACGAGTTACCCTTGGGCCTTCATATCTATGAGTCTGCTCCTGTCTCCCTCTCAAGCTTGTTGCTGGATGATGATCTAGGAAGAGCCCAAAGTAGGGCTGTGCCTTGTTAGCTTTTTTCTTTTCTGACTTCGGCCTGCCTTGTAACCAAAAAAAAAAATTTGAAATTAAAACCATCTATCACAATTACCCCACCAAAATTCCTAAATTTAAATTTCACATAAATAACACTGCTTCTGCCACTTCCTATTCCTATCTACTTACACTTCCCCCTGACAAGTCACGTGCTTAACATTTCTCCTACCTACAGCTGAACATTGGCGTCTCCGCCTCCGAAATTCGCCTGCCCTTCACTGCTTCATGATTGAAAATCAGGCGCGCGCGTACGGACGTGATGCTCACACAGTGCATCCGCAGAAGACGAAGAAGAAGAGCATCGAGACCAAGGCCACTGACTCGAACGCCGTCACCAGTGGCCAAACGACGTCGTCCACGATCGACAGGCTCAGCTCCGGCCCCCACCTCAGCAGCCTCCGCGGGGCCCACCCCATCGGCGACCTGAATGCTGACGCGGACCGCCACCAGGACATTCTCTCTTGCTCTCTCGACTGCAGTCTTCACTTGAGTCACCCGTCGCTTGCTTTCTCTCTAGTTTCGACCGGGTTTGTATTTGTAAGGAGAGGGAGCGGGGTTTTTATACATGGAGGAGGGCGATGGCAAAATGGTAAATGAAAATAAGTGGGGTCTGTTGATCCACGGCGGAGATTGGGGTTAGAATCAGAGATGTGCAGCACTTGGAAATTCTTGTTAATAAGACAAAGTATGCAATTATTTGAAAAATAGTTTGGGGGGAAATTAAAAAACGACAACGAGACTGAATTCAATTACGTTCAAAAAGTTTTAGAAAATAATGGCTTTCTTCTATTGGCTCGTGCAAATGGCAAGTCTGGAAAATGGAACTTTTTCTTTTCCGGTACAACCATTTAAGTTTTAAATTTTTTATAGACTTATTTACTGTAGCGCCCCCTGAAATTATAATCAAATCTCACTTTATCCCCTGAAAGTTAAAATGACTCACTTTACCCTTTTAATTGATGTTTTGCATCTCAATTTACCCCATACTGTCAAGTCAGTCAATAACTCTATCCTATCTACTTACACTTCCCCCTGACAAGTCACGTGCTCAACATTTCTCCTACCTACAGCTGAACATTGGCGTCTCCGCCTCCGAAATTCGCCTGCCCTTCACTGCTTCATGATTGAAAATCAGGCGCGCGCGTACGGACGTGATGCTCACACAGTGCATCCGCAGAAGACGAAGAAGAAGAAGAGCATCGAGACCAAGGCCACTGACTCGAACGCCGTCACCAGTGGCCAAACGACGTCGTCCACGATCGACAGGCTCAGCTCCGGCCACCACCTCAGCAGCCTCCGCGGGGCCCACCCCATCGGCGACCTGAATGCTGACGCGGACCGCCACCAGGACATTCTCTCTTGCTCTCTCGACTGCAGTCTTCACTTGAGTCACCCGTCGCTTGCTTTCTCTCTAGTTTCGACCGGGTTTGTATTTGTAAGGAGAGGGAGCGGGGTTTTTATACATGGAGGAGGGCGATGGCAAAATGGTAAATGAAAATAAGTGGGGTCTGTTGATCCACGGCGGAGATTGGGGTTAGAATCAGAGATGTGCAGCACTTGGAAATTCTTGTTAATAAGACAAAGTATGCAATTATTTGAAAAATAGTTTGGGGGGAAATTAAAAAACGACAACGAGACTGAATTCAATTACGTTCAAAAAGTTTTAGAAAATAATGGCTTTCTTCTATTGGCTCGTGCAAATGGCAAGTCTGGAAAATGGAACTTTTTCTTTTCCGGTACAACCATTTAAGTTTTAAATTTTTTATAGACTTATTTACTGTAGCGCCCCCTGAAATTATAATCAAATCTCACTTTATCCCCTGAAAGTTAAAATGACTCACTTTACCCTTTTAATTGATGTTTTGCATCTCAATTTACCCCATACTGTCAAGTCAGTCAATAACTCTATTA